TATGTGCCAATGAGATCTGTGAATTAGGGTAAATCTCATGAGTGAGTGACACCCTACCATATTGTTTTTTTTTTAATCTTGTGTAGTAATTTTCATTTGTTCTGAGCTTTAAATTTGATATCTTTTTCAATCCATATAACTGTTTTACTACTTCTAGAGACTAAAAACTAACACAGCGTATTTAATTTGTAACATCACATTCCTGGATTACTGTCAGTAGTTATCAGACTGAGTTTAAAAGATATTTTTATATTTGGAACATCACTATTTTCAGTTTCGGGGATGCATTTATTACTAATTATTAATTTTATATAAATCCATGAAAAATTGCCACTAGTTATGAGTGGAACAAGTTTCTGTGGAGAAGTTGAAATATATGCTGTTTCATATTGCACATGCATTTTAGATCACATCATAAACATATTTCAAGAAATATTATTTAAATTTCACCAACATATTGAGATATTGGTGTATTTTGAAAATGTCAGCCATGATGTCAAAAGTTCAATATGCCGCAATCAGATTGCAGGAATGTTTACAAAATTATTACACCAATTTATTACACTGAACTGTCATGATATATGGGGTAAATTACAAATTATGTTGTCTGTTATGTAATTTGAAATGAAACACTTGCATCAGAGTAAAACTTCCAAAGCATCAATCTAGTCTGTGAGATTCAGGCGTGTTGATGTACATCTCCTGATGAACTACTGTGTATTCTCAGGTCGTTATAACAAGTATTCGCGGTTACTGAGCCAAACACCTTGGATTTTAGAAGGGGAGAGAAAAACAGAGTCATCAGTTGAAGAGCTGATCTGTGAGAAGATTAAAGATGTTTTACAGGCTGATGGTATGTTTCTGCTTACTGTCAATGTTGATGTGTTAACTCAATGACTACCATATCATCAAAGTACACTAATAATGTATGGAATAACAATTCTATAGTCATTGTGTTAACACTGTCAATGTTGATGTGTTAACTCAATGACTACCATATCATCAAAGTACACTAATAATGTATGGAATAACAA